GCTGATTCTGTTCATGCTTTTATTATTCCTATTTAACACAAGGTCATCTGACCTGATTTAGTATTTCATTGTTTCTGACTGAGTTTATGCTTTTTGTTATTATTTCCTTGACTTTTGACACAACGTGATCTGATTTAGTATGTCATTGTTTCTAATTGTTTTTGGTTTTATATTTTTATTCCATGTGCTGTAAATATATCTTGCTACTTTTTATCTGATGATGTGATTTTTTGTTAAGCACTTTGGTAACAGTTTCTGTTTTAAATGTGCTCTATAAATAAATCTGACTTGACTTGACTTGACCCCGGAAGTAGAACTTCTTCTTCTGTGGTTTTTTAAGGAGAGTTTACCACTCTGCGCATGTCAGTACTGCTGTTCAGAACAAAGCCCGCTGCATGTAAACGCTCGTCATGAACAGATTGTGCCCATGTAAACAACACATTTGAATTATTCAAACAGAACACATTTCAATCCGGTCATAGAATTCTGCGCATGTAAACATAGCTACTGATAGGACGAGCTGACATCAAAGGATCAAAAAGTGACGTCGCTATGAACGCTTGGCCGCCACAAGCCAGTTATCCCTGTGGTTACCCAGACACCTCCTGCTTAAAACCCAAAAGCTCAGAAGGATCACGAGGCCTCGCTTTCACGGTCTGTACTCATCATCACTCTATCTCAAATTGCAAGAAGCTGTGCCTGCCTTATCAAAACCATGATGCTGATTGACACTTTACCATCTTATCAGAACTTTGGAACTTTCTGGAGTGTTTAGGGATAACTCACCAGCTTTGTCAACCTCTATACATAAATGTATTATGATGTCATTGTATGATGCAGCTTTATGTTGCAAGAACATTTTTTGCATCTTTCACACTGTTTCCCGACCAGGAAATGGTGTGAAACTTGATTTTTTGGGGGCTTCCTCCTTCCTCGTGTTCTCTTTTTCTGTTAATTGGAATCAGGTCTCTCTTGTAAATGAGTCTTCGAGGCTCAGTGGGAACTAACCTGTATAAATAAAGGTCTAATGATAATAATAAGGTCATGATCAAAAATCAAGGTCAACATTAAAACGTCTTTGCTTGTTTTGTCCATAATTTCTAATCCACTCAAGATGATTTAACAAATGGTACACTTTAGCTCCGTCGCTGAAGGATTTGAATAGTGAATGTTTGTAGTTTCCAGATGGGTGTTGTTTTGGATTGGAATTAAACAGGGAATGTAAGTAAATTTAAGGTTTTTGATGCACAATATTCAAGTAAATAGAAGTTCAGCTGTGTAATTAATATTTGGCCACCCCACCAGTTACCCCAATGATTTGAGGAAACTACTTTTAAGCTATTTAAAAACTAGAAAGCATAGTTTCCACAAATAATAGTGGTGGCCAGTTTTACTTACTAACATACATACATATACATAGATACATACCGTACATACATACGTATAATACATACATACATATGTACGTATGTACATACTTATATATGTAAGTATGCATGTACATATATATTTGTGTGTGTGTGTGTGTGTGTGTGTATGGGTGTGGGAGGGTCTTGGATTTTGACATGGAAACCCAATTTTCATAAGGAACCTTGCTAACCGCTATGTGCAGCCACACACCAAAATGGACCTTTGCCCATAGCTTATTTTTCAAGTTATACGACTCACAAAGTTTACATATCTATGATGTTAGCCATCTTGAGTTTTGACCTAGCAACTCAACTTTCCAAAGGACCTTTTCATAAGTTTAGATGTAGCCACACACCAAAATGGAAGTCGGTACCTCACTTATTTTTCAAGTTATCATTTCACAACACAGAAAGGACTTTGATGGTGGTAGACATCTTGGAATTTGACATGACAACCCAATTTTTAAAAGGTTCTTTTCTTACGTGTAGTTGTAGCCACATACCAAAATATAAGTCTGTACCTCACTTATTTTTCAATTTATCTCCCTCATATTTTCAAATTGACTGACGGACAGCTGGAGGGTATTTTCTATTTCACCTTTTTACTTTGTGACGGGGGACAAAAAATATTTCATACACATGTGCATCATCACTAGAGGGAGTGTCCCGTACACTTTCCATCACCCCAGCTTCAAGGTCACGTCTCAAATCAAGGTCAGTGGTTATAAAAGGTCTTTGCTTGTCCAGATCATTGCTATAGATTGCTGTATTATAGTTTGCCAATAGGATATAATGTGTCTTTTTTTTTTTTTGCCTAATGTGTTGGCATTATTATTATTATTATTTATTTTGTGTGGATCAAAATATGACTATATGTGACAACATTTCTGATGCATTCCTGTTATATGTATTACACGATAATTGGGTTGAAGTGTGTACAGTTGCAAAATGCTAGGAATGTGCAAAATGAAACTTTCTTTGGGAATTTATTAATAACTTTTAGTGATATCCAGTTTGATCATTTTTGTATAGTTTTTAAGTGAACACAGACAGAACACATGAAAAACCTCTGCATAATACTTTTTTGTTGTTGTTCTGAGTTGTGTACATAAATCTAGAAAGTGATAATAACAACAAAGAGCAATAACTGTCAAAATGTTTAAACAATATTCTCTAAAGGTTGACTGATCCAGGATGGTTGGGACACAGTGATGTCATCATCGACATCATTGTTTACAAATTAGGTCAATAAATATTTTATTTTAAAAAAGTTGATATTTTAAGAAAGGGTGATTAATTTGTTTGTAGCATTAGTTAACGGATATTAATTAAACCATTTGTAAATAATGATTAGGCTTTTATTTTGACCAGAATACATGTTGGAGTCAGTCAGATTAAAAATGTTTTTTAATCAGAAATTTTGGTTACAGGTGATTCTCATCCATGACTTATGCTCTCAGCGCTACATTTTGTGCATTATCGTTGCTTTAAACTTTATCATTAACTGTGGGCATCAGCCCTGTTTGTCTGTTAGCAAAATATCTCATGAAGCAATGGACAATTTTAATTGAAACTTTGAAAAAGTAATTATTGCATGTACCGCTACATCTGATTAATGTATACTGTCTATTGCAGGGGTCTGCAACCTTTATGATCAAAAGAGCCATTTTTACAACTTCATTTACTAAATTAAATGTGTCCAGAGCCTCAACAACCTGCTACAACTGTGATTATCAACTGGTGGCCCATGGGCCATTTTAGGTTTTTTTGGAGGAGACTTTTGTGCCAGTAGTGATGACATTATAAAGCTAAAAACATCTAATGATTTTGAACATTTATTGATATTTGTACAATTTAATACAAATGAAAAGGCCAGATTATTGTACAGGTGATGGTGGTGGGGGTAGATTTTTAAATGAAAAAAAAATATGAACTATGATTTATTTTTTTTATTGTGGGAAAAACAATTAGGTATAGAAATTAAGCAAAAAAAAAGTTCATGAGTATTTGCAAAAGAAATGACAGGAAAACAGCTAAAACTAGTTTTTTTGTTGTTGCTTGTATAACAACCAATAAAATTCAGTTTTTTGTCAGTTTTGGTCAAAGCTTGAAAGAGCCGCTGCAGAGGGACCAAAGAGCCACATGGGGCTCCAGAGCCGCGGGTTGCAGACCCCTGGTCTCTCCAATGTAAGATGGTCTCCACAGCTAATTGACAATAGCCAGAATAAAAACGGTTCTAGCTCTCTCCTTGTTACCGATTAGCTAAAGTTCAGTGTGGTAGTAGCTGAAAGTTCCAGCACATACCTTGAGTGCTACGTATTGTGAAAAATCTCTACGTAAAACTTTTAACTTTTACTTTAACTGCTACAACCCCATAAACATTTGCACATATTTGAATGAAAGTCTCGGGTTTTTTCTTCTTCTTTCGGCTGCTCCTTTCTTCATTTTTTTTTTTCATTTACACTTTATTTATACAGGTAGTCTCAATGAATCACGAGAACTCGTTTTCAAGAGAGACCTGTTTTTGGGAGCAGGGAGGTGGGGGTTAAGGGCCTTGCTCAACTGCCCAGAGTGGAGCACATGAAGGTGGAGGCAGGTGTTGGTGTTTCACCTTTCCCGCCCACATTTTCATGTTGTCGGTATGAGGAGTTAAACCAGCGACCATAGGCCCACCTTTTATGAATGATGGGGCCGAGTTGTGGTAGAGGAAGGGCAGCCGACTCGGGATCCAAAAGTCACAGGTTCAATCCCCAGCAATTCCCACATGTCGTGGTGTCTCTGAGCAAGACGCCCAATCCCTAACTGCTCCCCGGGTGCTTACGTAGCTGCCCACTGCTCCACCTGGGTGTATCCCAGGTGCAATTAGTTTTTAGTTTTAATTAATTTTGACAGTGTATGGGAACATACAATAATGACAACACATAGCACTTACAGTACTTACCTTTTCTAACCTCTGTGCCACCACTCCCCCAATGAAAATCTCATGAAGTAACATTTAAAAAAAAACATCTACAACTGGTTGTAGATGACCTATAGTCTAGATGGCAACCATTACTCAACCTTTGCCAACACTGAAACGGGTCTAACTTACTCCAATGTACACATAATGAGATAAAGTTGGTGTGGTAGTAGCTTAGAGTCATCATCTGTACTGGGAGGTTGTGGCTGAGTGGGTAGAGCAGTCGTCCTATGCAAAAGTTGGGAGTTTGATTCCACCAGCAGTCACATGCCAAACTGTCTCTGGGCAAAACATTGAACCCCTCATTGCTTTCGATGTGTGTCCTATTGGTGTATGAATGTGATACAGCTCTGATTATTCTTTGTACAGATCTAGTAGAGTGATGTGTGAATGGGTAAATGAGGCACAGATTGCGTTGTAAAGCACTTTAAGTATCTCGATAAGATAGAAAAGTGCTATATAAGTGCAGTCCATTTACCCTGTACACATACTCAGAGTTAACAGATCACCCAAGAAATTGAGTCATTTACCAGATTTGATCAAGTGGGCATTTTGTCAAAGATCTTTGACGTACAAAGCAAATGTGTTGTTTTTTAACATCTATATGGGTTTTTTTGCTATGACACCTGCAGGTTACCTGGGCCCTCCAGAGTACCTGCTGCAGGCAGCGGGGCCTCCCGGAGCCCAGGCTCCTCCAACCTCAACCGGCGGAGCCAGAGCTTTAACAGCATCGACAAGAGCAAGCCTCTTCAATATGCAAGCAGCAACGACAGAGGTAGGACAGACGCACGAACACGCCCTCTTCAACCAAACCAAATCAGACTGCAGCTGGTGTTTTACTTTTCTTCATCCCAGCCACACGATGGCACTCTTGACACAACTCGTCACACAGAGTGACGCTCCGGCCTCAGGCTGCTGAATCATCCCCGGCTCTTTATTCCACCTGAGTTAGAACGATGGCACGAGGGGAGGTGGTGGAAACGTTTCAGAGCTGACGAAGGGCCAGGTTCCTGGTTCAGTCTGAAGAGTTGTGTTCTGCCGTACTGCAGGAACACAACACGAGTCGGTCCAGCTTCCCTGCAGGAAAATGAAACAGTGTTTTTGGCTGAGAGTAAAACGAGAAAATCGATGGTTGGTAAATGTCAGCAGCGCGTCTCGAACCTTCTGGGCAAAACAAGAAAATACAGAAACAGGAAGATCTTGAAGCATCTGTGCATGATCTCATGAACCACTGGATGAATCTGAACAAAACTTGCATTCATCAAGTAATCACTGCATAACAGTTTATGTCAGCCTGGTTCAAGATGGCTGCCACAGCCAACTGAATCTAAAAAAATGCTAAAATCTGTACAACTTTGTAGATTTTACAACATAGATTTATTATTTCCTGTAGCTGCAACTGGTTCCCAACACGTAATTCCGTGCTAACAGAATGTGCAAAACCTTTTTTTTTAAATCTGGCCTTTAACTTTTTTAAGTCAACTCTGTCTGTTAGCAAAATATCTCATGAACTCCTGGATGGATCTTGATAAAACTTTCAGGAAATGATCATTGAATTGATTTCTATAATTGATTAACATTTGGAGCTGAACCAATGTACCACAGCTAACTGAACTTATAGAACACACAACTGGATATAATCCAGTTAGTTTTTCAGATGTTGATCTAAAATTTGGCATGATAGTAGCTGAGACTTATTCACAACACATACTCCAAGGGCCATTCATTGCACTTGATCTTTGCTTACAATATCAGCTTTAACTTTTTGTTAGTCTGTTAGCAAAATATCTCATGAAGCAGCTGAAAGGTTTTGATGAAAGTCTCAGAAAGTAATCATTGGTTGTTTGTCTACAGCTGATAACTTTTTTATGTCATTGCAATATAAACTGGCCGCCACAGCACAAACATGATACTAGCTCAATCAGTTTTATATTAGTCTAAAACGTCATGAAAGCTGCAGGCAGTATGCAATGCATCAAGGAATCTTTCATTATTTCATAGAAACTATACGTTTTGTAAAATATGACTCGTCCTTTTACTAGTTGGAAAAGATAAGAAGGCAGCAGTGGCACGTGTTAAGCAGAGCGGGGAATCTGCTGATTTATTCTGCCAAAGAGATTATTTCCTTTCAGCCTGATCGTGATATAATGTGATGACGAGCTACATATGAGCTGCAGAGTGTGCATGTGAGACAGCTGCATACCTTGCTGCATGTGTCAATCATCCCCAGGCTTTTTTTTTTATTTTTAATTATTTTTATCAAAAATAATCGTTTCAGCTCCTGTAAAGAAATTGTGTTTGTTAGTTAGCAGAGTCCACCATCGCCCAAAATAAGTGCCATTTTATTCCTTGGCAGCTGAGTGGGGGGAACGAAATGAAAAAAGGGCGGTTGCCGTGGCAACGTCAAATCACTGCACAAGGAATAGCCTTGAGAAAAAGGGTGGGGATGGAGACAAGCTAAAGATGGAGTTAATTGACCGGACACGAACACACAAGTTTGTGTTTTTCTTCCTATTTGAACATTTTATTGACGTCCATTTATTTCTGTAGCCAAACCCTGACGTTAAACCTAAACCTAACTATTACAAGAATATGCCTAAACCTAACCCCTTAAAACGAAAATGGAGTTGTACTGAGTTAGCTTCGGTCCCCATTGGCTGCTGTGACTGAGTGGTTAGAGCATCCGTCTTCCAGTGCAAGAGTTGGGGGTTCGATTCCATCAGCAACCACATGCCGAAGTGTCCCTGGGCAAAACACTGAACCCGTCATTGCCTCTGATGTGTGTCCCATCAGTGTATGGATGTGATCGAAAAGCACTGATTCTTTTGTAGAGATCTAGTAGAGTGCTGTATGAATGGGTAAATGAGGACACAGATTGTAGTGTAAAGAGCTTTAAGTATCTCGATAAGATAGAAAGGTGCTATATAAGTACAGTCCGTTTACCCATTCATTCAGTCTTTAGTTCTACAGGTTAGTCTCATTGAGCCTCGAGGACTCATTTACAAGAGAGACTTGTTTTAAACAAGGAACACAGATGAGGTGCAGACAGTAATAGACAATCATATAAAAAGCATAAATAAAATAAATTAAATTAAAACGAAACAAAAGCAGCTACGTTATAATGCGATGTAAAATACTAAAATCAGGAACATGTCTGTGTTGGTTTTTGCCATGAACTTAGCATATGTTTAAAATCCCTTAGAGAGGTCAAAGTTGACAACTTCAGGTCTATTTGCAAGATATTCCAGGAAACAGGAGGCGTAAGAGAAGGCCCTTTTGCCTAATTCAGTCCGCACTGAGGGTACACTGCAAGTAATTATGTCTTGTGAGTACACACTGTAGCTGCACTCACGGAGTGAAAAGAAGTACAGGTTTTTACTATTTTAGTTATAATACCTGTGATGTTCAAAAATTTAACGCAAACATACAGTATGGCACAATGTCTGTAACGTCCATCATTTAACAGAGAATCTGTAGGGAACCTTTGAAATGTGTTCAGTTTCCATGCATGTTTTTTTTCCAGGTTCTCCAGTTTCCTCTTACAACCCATAATGTGAGTGTTAGTTGAATTGGTAATTGTCCTCTGTCGCGGAGTGAAGAGGGGGAACTATTCTAAGTAACTAAGAATAACTGAGGAGGCCACCTTTGGCCACACTCTGGCTCCACCATTGCACCTGGCAGTGGATAAAATTGCTCCCTCCATTTGCCAGGGTCTGTCACTCTGCTCTGTCTTGGACAAGAAAAAAAATAAATAAAAACCTGCCTTTAAAAGTAAAGTAAAGTGCTATGTATTGTCATCATTGTATGTGATGGCAAAATGAGTTCTCTACATTTAACCCATCACACGTAAGATACACCTAGGTGGAGCAGTGGGTAGCTATGTAAGCACCTGGGGAGCAATTGGGGATTAGATCTTGGCACCTACATTTGATGTAGGTGCCGAGACTAGTTTACAAACTTATCAGGCACCAGGGCCTCTGCTGTGATGAGTTGTGAGGGATCATCTTCTTCTGCAGCATCTATAGCTACATGCTGAGAGGAAGAGCTCCGGAATTTGTTTAATGACAGAAGAGATCTTTTCAACAAAGCGTCAGGGTCCTGGAGAGCCCTCATGCCCCACTGAGACTCACGCGGCAGGATATGGCATGGATCCGTGGGGAGTTTGGGAGCTGATGTGTCTTTCCATTTTGTCTCAGGAGGACGCTGAAAATGTTTATATAATTAGATTCATGATAGCAGGGTTTCAGCTTTCTGGCATTGGCGCATTCCTATGTTATCGGCTATTAAGGAATACAGCGCAGCAGTTTCGGCAATGGCAAAGCTGCCGAGTATGTGGGAAAGTTTGGTTCATGCTTCGAGTACTGAAAATCAGCTGATTTACGAGCTAAACCGTAAGATGGAAGCTATTTGTGAGAATCGCAAGCCACCTGCGGCTTCTGGGACTTGCCAGCCTGTTGGAAATGACCTTGGAGGAGCCTTGTAGGCACGGACCAGTGGAATGCCCACAAACCTGGTCATTTTGGATCTTGAAAGTACCAGCAGGACTCAAGGCTGACAAGAAAAAAACAGTGCCTGATAAAATCAATAATTGTGGCTTATCTAAATCTGACTCCCCTGGTTGGCCTTGAAAACAATTTGTCCTGGAATATGTGTAAACTAAGGAAAGGCTTCGTCTATTGCAACTCCCCCGAGAACTTCTGTGAAGACTTATCAGAACTGTGTCGGCTGACCAACATCTTCAGGACTATGGCCTATCTGGAAGTGCTTCATGGACAAATCTCCCTGCCTTGCCGTCAAATGCATATTTAACATGTTTATAAAATGTGCTTGCTGGTCGAGTTTTTTGATGTCTCAAATCGTGTCCTGATAGGACATGGTGTGAAGAGATCTTGTTTTATGATGCCACTATCCTATCCTCATGGATTTTTCCCCTTTTCTATTAAAAAGGTATTACAATGGTAATAAAGCTTATTCTGACTCTGACGCTGATTCTGAGATGTGGTGCTGAGTCGACAGCGATTTGTCCACTTTGAACTTGAGAGCATCGTTCTTCTTCACAGTGTAACTCCTACCTGCCTGAATATCCAACGAAGGAGAACATTGGGGTGCGGCTTGTCAGTTCTGTCTTAAGCTTTCAGAAGTTGTCAGAGGTTTTAGTTGTTGCAGTTTCTCAGTCTCAACCACAACTGCATTGACACCCCTCCTTCCTGTGGCTGCCTGAAGTGGTTCTAAAAGTGGAGAGCTGAGGTGACTCAAAGCCAGCTGAGCCCTGTTCCCTGTGCTGACTGACAGCCAGACACACACTCAGTCTAATGGTGCAGATCTTTATTCTGTCACTCTGCTGCATCTCGTCTTTTGTCCGTTCCATTTCTTTTTCCCTTCAATCGAACTCTTTCTGTAAGAATCTCTGAAACGATCTAATCTCTTGGGTTGTGGGATATGGTGCTGATATAAACGCTTGATGTGTTATAATTGCTTGTTGGTGTGTGCAGATGCACAGCCTATTTGTTGACACTCATTTGGGATCATATGTAAGCAATTTGGCCCTTGTGTGAGCTTGAAATTGCTTTTGGAAATTATTAAATACAGCATGGTCAAATGTGCTTTATATGTAAAGCTGATGTGATTTATTTATTTTTGTTGATGTTTATGTGAGTGATTTGAATGTGATGTATGTGTGAAATCAATAATTGTGGAGTATAATTTCCATTGTATATATCAAAGCACCAGTTGTTAAAAAACTATCAAGAAGCTTTAGAAACATACATTACAGAGACTTTTACCACCATTCATCCATCCATCCGTCCATCCAGCCATTCATCCATTCATCCAGACATACATACATCCATCCCATCATCAATCTATCCCATCCATCCATCCCTCCATCTACCGTTTGATCCATCCATACCATCCATCCATCCATCCATCCATCAATCATCCATCCATCCATCATCCATCCATCCATCCCATCTATCCCATCCATACCATCCAATCCATTCATCCATCCATACATCCCATCCATCCATCCATTCATCCATCCTATCATCAATCTATACATCCATCCATCCATCCATCATCCATCCATCCATACATCCCATTCATTCATCCATCATCATCCATCCATCCCATCTATCACCCATACACCCCATCCATCATCCATCCATACATACATACAGACATACATACATAAACAATCTATACCCACTTCTCTTTTCTGGGTTGTTGGGGTCACTGGTGCCTATGTTCAGCAGTCACTGTGAGAGGGGGGGGGGGGGGGGGGCACCCATGACAGGTCTCCAGTCCATCACAGGGCCACACAGAGACAAAAAAGAGAAAACAACCATTCACTCTCTCACTCACAGATAGGGACGGTTTAGAGATATCAATGAACCGTTGTGCTTTGGGCAGCACAAGGGATTAGTGGTTAGCACAGTTGCATCACAGCAAGAAGGTACTGGGTTCAAACCCTGGTTTAGACCTGGGGTCTTTCTGTGTGGAGTTTGTAGGTTCTCCTCATGTTTGTGTGGGTTTTCTCCAGGTACTCCAGTCCATAGTCCAAAAAAACATTTGTTAGGCTGTCTTCAGGTCTAGGCCTCCTTTGCCAAAGAGGATACATTTTCCATTGCACATCAAATTGCTACTTCTAACCAGACCCAAGGGAGGCACACCCCGTTGATATGAGACCAGTAGTGTGCCCACACTGCAAACTTTATTTGTTTGACTGGATATTGTAATCACTGTAGTACAGTCACACAACCTTTCAACATGTACAGTTTCACTTCATTTCCACTATTCCAGCTGTGTGCTAAACTTAATTATTTGTATTTGAACATTAGTTTGAGACAGCAGAAATAACTGCATGGCATTTCATTTATAAGAATCTCCGAAACTTGAGGAATATAATATTATGAATTAGTTGCAGGTAAAATGATGCAGAGAATTAAAATATATAAAATATAAAAATGTTTCATTGCAGCATTTTATTAAAAACTCTGATTATGGCACATGTTCAGACATAATGGACAGAGATTTTTGCCTCTTGTCCCATACTTTGGGTTTTGTGACTGATCTCATGACTGATAAGCTAATAAACATTGATTACTATTTGGAAGAACATCACTTCAAAGATGACTTGGCTTAACTTTAAACAGTGATGTAGCATTTTTTTTATCTTTATTTGAATCTTTTTCTTATAGAAATAATAACAACATTGTTTTTTTGACCTTATCAAAGTAATCTATTTGAGTCTTTTCTTATCTATTTGTTTTGGCACTCGAAAGCATTACATAATTTTGGTGTCATGTCATCTGAAAACCAAGTCCTAAAGTGTTGTTTCTTGCCTTTAGGGTACTCACAGTTTCAGGTCAGGAAGTGTTTCTGACAAATGTCACAGTGACCTCAAAATGAATCACAAACACATCATTTGGTCCACACAAAAAGCATATTCTGAGACTGCTTTAACATACTTTGTGATATTCATTTTATTTGTTAGTGCAGTGACGTCACGGTGGGTTGTCCACTATAACTACAGTTTACACACCTGCAGTGGCAGACAATTGTCACATTGTATTTATTCCGTGAGCTAAAAATAACTAGAGTTTTACATGGAAATGGGGTCTGTCAGTAAGAATAAAAAATCTTCAGTCATCATAAATTATTAAGACTGTTTCAAAGATGTATGTCTCTATGTTACTCATTCCAAACTTAGCCATAAGTGAATCACTCTAACTGGATTCTGGACGTCCTGACTGACAGACCCCATTCTGTTAAATTAGACAAGCTCTCTTCCTCCCATCATCCTGAACGCCGGTGTACCACAAGGATGTGTGCTGAGCCCTCTTTTGTACTCCCTGTTCACCCATGGCTGTGTTCCTATTCATCACTCTAATTCTATAATAAAGTTTGCAAATGACACCACAGTGATATAGACCTGATCAGAGGCGATGAAGAGACGGCCTATAGGTGTGAGGTGCAGCATCTGACTACATGGTGTGAGGACAACAATCTGGTGCTTAATACCAATAAAATCAAGGACATTATCATGGACATTAGGAGGGCTAGGAGTCAGGCCCACTCCCCTCATCAATGTGATAGGAGCTGAGTGTGTCCGGCTTAAAGTTCTTGGGTACTCACATCTCTGACCATCTCTCTTGGTCACTTAACACCTCAATTCAGGTTAAAAAGGCACAGCAGTGTCTTTATTTCCTATGGAGCCTTAAAAAAGCTCACCTGTGCTCAAGGATATTGCTGGACTTTTATCACTGTAATATCGAGAATATTCTCACAAACTGCATCTTGATATGCTAGGGCAACTGCTCTAAATCAGACTGTAAGGCGCTCCAGCAGGTGCTGGGTAGGGTGAGGAACATCATCAAGGACGTTTCTCATCCTAACTACTTTCAATCACCTACCATCAGGTAGACGTTACAGGAGGCTCCGCTCCCACACCAGCACACTCAGAAAGAGCTTCTTTCCCTACTGTAACATTATTGAACTCATCACAGTCACTTTAAGGACATCACTATAAATGCACATGGTACTTTGTTCTTAATGTTGAAATATTCATCATAACTGTATATTTCTACAGTCTAATACTGCACTATTCATATTTGCATTGTATATATTGTATTATTTGTTGCCGTCATAACACATATGCATATGTCACTTTCATTCACTCTGTATATACTGGATATTTACACTATATGTATATTCTCATCCAACATTTATACTGTAAAACTCTGCTGATCTCTGTTTATAATGTTCACATTTGAAAACATTATTCTCCATTCTAATTCCATGCACTTTATCTGTAAATAACTAGTAATAGTACTGTATTTTGCACTTCTGGTTAGATGCTAACTGTATTTCAGTGGCTCTGTACCTGTACTCTGCACAATGACAATAAACTTGAATCTAATCTAATCTAATCTAAACTAACCTTATTTGGTATCTTAAATTTAATTATTTTACTTGTGCATAAAAGTAATTACACTGATGGAGACAAATATTTTGAAGCCATGTTGTTCCATTAAGACTTTCAAACTGGGATAATTTGAATGTTTTCTGGTTAAAAAAAAAAGGGCTTGTTGTTTAATTGAATGATGTTGCATGAATATTTTCAATATTTAGAATCATAACAATATTGTTGATGCAGTAGTCACTCTTTCTGGTTGATGGACTAGAAAAAAAATTACACTTTCTTAAAGATGAACCTTAAATTAGTATTTTTAGTTTGAAACTTAATTTCACAGAAATCCTCTGTACATATGCGTATCAACACCACTGTATATATCCTTACAACTTTACACTTCTTTTTATATTTCATTTCAGCTCTACATGCCACGGTATTCCTATGGGGATTTTTTATTTCTTACTTGAGTTTTCTACTGGATGTGTGTAAAAGTATGGAGGGAGACTGTTTTGATCCATTTCGCTTGTTAAACAAATCCAGGTCATCCATGAAAATGTACTACAATATAAATAAGGGTTTTCTTTTCTGAAGTCCTGCAGATTCCTGTTGGAGTAATAACTATTATTTTATAGATCAGAGGTGTACAATCCTGGTCCTTACTCTTGTGAGCTGGAAAACTTGAAAAATAAGCAATGTGCTACTTTCCATGTTGGTATGTGGCTGCATCTAGATTCTAGACAAAATAAAAGTCACTATCAAAAATTGGGTTGCTACATCAAAATCCAAGATGGCTACCACCAGATAAACATATAAATTAGCCACACCTATAATTTAACAAAACTATGCATTCCAGTTTTTATATTGTTTAAAAGTATAGTTTCTCCAAATGATTGGAGTGGCCAAAGATTAATTTATGGTGACCACCGCCTGGCTTCGCCATTGAGCCTGGTCATGGAGAAAATGACTCCCTCTACTTGCCAGGATCCATCACTTTGCGACACCTGGGATAAGCAAAAAAAAATAAAATAAAAACACTTTCTCTATACTTTTACACAGTGTAACTCCTACCCACTTGAATATCTTGCACCAAAAACATTGTTTACTTGCATTCTCTGTTCTTTCAGAATTAGGATCAACCTTTATTGTCATTGCACAGAAGTACAATGAAATTGCATTTCAATAACGAACAAAATTACAATTTCCAGTCCAGAAAAACACTCATCCCGAAATCGTCAAACATTCAATGTCCAAACCCCTCAACTACCAGTAACATCAGCATACCACTCGTTTCAAATTAAATTAACTCAAATTTTCATTAGAAAAAAATCTGAGTTAGTTTAAAAATTGTGATATATCAACATTCCTTTTAATAATTTGTTTCTGTTTATTTCTGTTTATTTCTGTTTCTTTTTCCAGAGACAGTGAGGGGCATCCCAGTATCCAGTGGGATGAATGGGAGTGGGATGGTTCCCACCAGCCTCAGTGGGCAGCAGCTGGCCTCTGCCATCCCCTCACCCACAGCTGGGAAGTCCTGGCGCAGCAAGTCCATGAACCTCAAGCACAGTGCAACTTCCTCCATGCTGGCAAGCCCTACACACTCACCTTCCACTACACCTTCCCCACAGGCTCTGGAAGGCGTTCAATCACATGGATGTGACGTGTCGAAAGTTGGGTCGGGTGTTCCTTCTCCCCAGAGATCAATGTTAGAGAAGTTTCGCCTAATCAACCCTCGTTCAGCTTCGAGAGCATCACCATCTATGGCAGAAATGGCTCTACAGGAAGAAGATGACTTGTCAGAGTATGGTGAGGATGGACTAACCCCCATGGGCTCAGTGTGCAGCAGTGGCAGTAGCAGTGCTACAGCCAAGCAAATGCCTGCAAAGACCCCAGCAACATCCCTTTCTGCCCCCAGCAAAACCTCATCTTCATCCATCTCCTCATCTTCTAAAGCCAGTGGCAGCAGGTCTTTGACTCCATGTAAAGACAAGGATGACAAAAGCAAACATGGGAAATCTTCTAAAGACAGCTCACCTCCAAAAGAGGAGCGGGAGACTTTTGCTGACCCCACAAAGAAGACCTCAAAAATTGCAAGCTTCATCCCCAAGGGAGGAAAGGCATCATCAGGGAAGAAAGATGGCAGCACCTCCTCAGCTTCCAGTGGCATACCAAAATCGGGACTTAAAGCACCCTCCACAACATCGGCAAAGCCTCAGAGCTCATCCCAAACCCAGAACCAAGTTGCCTTAAACAGCAGTGGCAACATGCGGGCAGGAGAAGGTGAAAAAGCCAAGCTGACCAAAGGAGGACAAGGTGGGAGTTTTTACATACAGCGCTCCACTAGTGGCCCAGAAGGCAAGCGGACAAGCATGACCTCATCAACCAGTACATCAGCCCTGTCTGGGTCCAGTGGGATGCTGGGAGTAGGAGCAGGAGGAGGGGGTGGTGCACTTGGAGGGAATGGAGTAGTTCAGCTTCCTCAACAGCAGCAGCATAACCACCCCAATACCGCCACTGTTGCACCTTTCATGTACAGGTGAGTTGTACATTATGAAGGACACAATTTTAGATTCAATGTTCTTTATTGTCATTTGCATCACATGTGGTACATGAGGTGGAAGAAAATTGTGTACTCAAGGTACCAGTTACACCCAAAAATAGCAAAAAAAAGTAGGTATAAAAAGAAACTATATAAGGATCTAAGATATACGCTAAACACTAATAATGTAAAATAATATGGTATATTAAACAGCAGCTTGGACATGAGTTGGTAGTGAGCAGATGAGTAGAGATCAGCAGCATGGATAATCAGCAGCACAGATAAGTCACATATCACAAATTAAAGTAGCATTACAGTGATTATCCTGGTTAGAGATTTATGAGTCAAACAGCTTCAGGGTAGAAGCTGTTCCCCAATCTAGTGCTTCTACACTTAATGCTCTGCAACCTTCCCCCTGAGGGGAGCGGTGCAAAAAGTGTTTGTGCTGGGTGAGTGGGGTCCTTCATGATGCAGGTGGCCCTCTTCTTGCATCTGGATTTGTAGATGTGTAATGTGTAGATGGTGGGGAGGCTGACTCCAACAGACTTCTGTGCAGCCTTTACCATTGTCTGCAGAGCTTTCCTTTCCTTTTAGTAGATGAGGTGTACCTCAAATCCAATTTAAATTGAAATGGTTACTTTTAAAAGGTAAATTCAAGGTCAGTGTAGAAACATCGGTTGACAGAACTTGTGTGTTGTTGGACCCATTTTTATTTGATGAAATATCTCTTAACAATTTCCACCTCAACCACCCAAATTTGTTTCCATCAACATACTTCTGGCACAGTTCTGTCTTTATCATTGATCACTCTTCTAGGCAGAGTTGGTAGAAATCATAAATTGGTTAGTTTCCTGGCAAGGATGCTGGCTTTAAAACTTAGTCCACAAATTTTCAAACAATTTGAGGTTGGGGCCTTAGAAAGTCATTGCAGAACCTCAACATTAGTGAGTTTTATTGATTCAGAAACCAGTTCTGGAGTGTGTTTGAATCACTGCCCTTTTAGAACACTCTGATGTGTCCAATTTTCAACCAGCTATCTCAGTGGTTTCCAATCTTGATCCTTGAGGGCCACTATCATGTGCTTTTTAGAGGTTCCTCTCCAACATGTCTTATTTGAATCAGAGGTGGTTAAAAGGCTTCTGCAACACTTGAGGGTGCATAGAAGAGATAATTTAACCCTTGAAATCAGAGTGTTTTGGAGCAGGGAGACAACTAAAACATGAATAGTAGGGGCCCTCAAGGACCAGGATTAGATACCACAGATCTAGTATTTTTTTTTCTTTTTTTTTTGAGGTGATGTTGAAAAAAGGTCATTGTTCCGTTCACTTTGTTCATTGCCCCAGCACCACAACATGATGCAACTTCCACCATGTTTGACGGTGTTCTTAGCCTAGTTTTGATTCCTCCAAACTCTTCTAGTCACGGTTGCTAAATAACTCAGTCTCTGTCACAAACGGCTGGTACACCCACTGATGCAGGCAAGCAGGCAAGGACTCAGGATGGATATATAAAAATAAAGAATTTATTAACAAAACCAAAGAGCTGACAGGGCAGCAAAACTAACATAGACAGATCAGGGGGTACTCACGGTACAGACAGATCAGCACCAGTGAACAGAAGACAATGCCAGGACAAGGACTAACTCAGAGACACAGACTTATATACAGGAAACACCAATTAGACAAAGTGAAGGTACCTGTGAGTAATCACAGATGCCAAAGAAAGAGACAGAAGATGCAAGACATAAACACGACACAAGATGGAGCTGGATACTAAAGAAACACTAACCCTATAAAGAGAAACAGAGGATCAGGGGAACACAGACATAAACACGACACCAGGGACAAAACCACAACTCTCACAGTCTAATTTGAAATTAAAACTTATCTCCAGAAGGCATTTGGCTTGTCTTTTAGGCTTGATGTGTCTCTTTTGAAACAGGGTCATCTTCTTTGGTCCACAGTGATGTAAAACTGGCTTTGCTGGTGTTCGCAGTTTACAGTTCATCAGTTCATCAGTCCATGGCAGGCTTGAGCCTTGGCATTTCCTGAGTCATCCATGACTTTCCTTTCAATTCAGTTTATTTATATAGCACCATATCACAACAAGTTGTCTCAGGGCACTTTACAGAAACATTTACATACATAAAAGCCAATTCGTAAAGTTCTCTATCTAAGGAATCCAGCAGACAAGTTGAATCTTGGCTTCATTGCAGTCTCCCGTCCTGAGCAAGCACAGTGGCAACAGTGGAAAGGAAAAACTCCCTTTTAAAAGGAAGAAACCTCCAGCAAAACCAGGCTCAGGACAAGTGGCCATCTGCTTTCAATCATCATCATCCTTTCAATGGAGTGTCAAAGATAAGGATTGATCAGTCCAAAAAGTGTCATTAAACAAATCCTTTCTCATGCCCGTCATTAGAAACTGCAAGGTTTTTGCCAATTATGATTTCTAACAAGATGTTTCTAGATCTTGGTTTTGTCAAATTAAACATTTTAGAACCTTTAGCACCACTTCTTAAAAAAAAAAAGATGAATTTCTGTGTTAATTAGAGAAAATTCATCATGAATTTTAACTTGTGCACCCAATTTTTGACTTCTAATACATCAATGAAGTTGTACTTTGTGTAGTAATTCTGCTTTGGAAAAGGGAGTGGTTCAAATCAGTCAATAAAAACCACAAACTAATATGACATTGATGATGAGCAGGTTTGCATTAACTATTCTCTTAAAGTCACATCTGCACACACACCCAAAAACTCAGATGCACAACCTGTGAAATCTTGGCATTCGCTTTGTGATCAGCTGGCGCTCCCCATCGCGTGTCTTGCTCTCGCCTCCACATCACTTCACAGTCATTACAGAACAAATTAACATCCTCTGCTCGCTGCATGCCAAAGCCTATTATTTGGCTGTCTGGGTTTCATCCTCAATGTGAGAATCCAGGCCTTGGCAGTGTTTACAAATCTTTTGCTTTATTCTTCACTCAGACAACATTATGAGGCATGTGGATGCCATGTGTTTAGCTGATGTTACTGTAGTCAAAGGTGCAGAAAGAGGGTAGAAAAATATATGAGACACTAAAGACCGAAGAGATTGCCTTAAAGATTGAAGGAGTTAGGAATCCCATTAAACAATCGTTTTCCTCATTTCTAACAAAAAGTTAATTGTGCCCAGTTAGCTCTGAGCCACACAGCTAAATTTGTAGCATTAGCCACAAATTTAGCAAGTTGTTGTTGTCTTTCTTGGTCCAACACTAATTGTCAGCTGTAAAGTGCAGAACTAAAAGTAAAACAGTAAAACTTGCAGGAACATGCTGCCATCTGTGGCAACTCCTGTCAATTCCTGGACACGTATTTAAAGCTTGGACTTCTACTTACTGCTTACTGCCATGTTTTTATTTGGCGATTAAGTCCAAATTTTAGCAAGGGAAAAAAAATGACCATCACAGATGCTCTCTGTCATATTTTACAACGTCTTTTTTTTATTCATAAAGAAAAGCTTAGCTATTTAGAATTTTTCACATTCATTTATAAAAATCAGATTCGGACATAGAGGTAATGAAGCCCCTGAAGAAGATTACAGCCGAGTCAAGGTCGTTAAAAATAGATTAATAATAGGATAAAATTAAACAAGATAAAATTAAGATAACAAGAACCAGATACAATAATTTATTATATTATAAATGTATTGCATAATACATTATACATTATATAATGTAATGTATAATAATTACATAATATACGAGAATATTCCCATATACATAATAGCTTCTGTTACATTCTCAATTCTGCAGCCTGTTGCTAAAGGAGCTTCTTCAGCTGATCAGTTTCTCTCATAGAGGGTAAAAACGAGTTGTCCTTCTCTCCAATGCCACTATCAGAGTCCAGTTCCTCATCCACAACATAACCAACATTCCTTTCCTGATAATCTTATTTAGTCTGTTGGTGTCCGTCAACGTTAAGCTGCTACCCCAACAGGCAGGACAGCACTGGCCAGAAATCATTAGCAACGTGATTCGACAGATGTTGACTGACCTTTGACGTCTCAGATATTACAGTTGACATTGACATTTATTGTAGGCCATTTCCACATCCAAGAAGGGCCAAGGCAGATGTATTATCTCAGAAGCTGGAATTGTTTCCATAATTTCTATCATGCGTAAGATGCCTAAAATTTAAATTTAATGCATTTCAGACTTTATTGAAACAGTTATTCATCACTTGGAAAAAAGGAGGTGGCAGAAGTAATTGGAGACTGCCTAGAAAGGCAGCCACCTATAATTATCCACCTGAAAAGGGTCTTTCTATTCTATCAACTTTAATGAAGTCCAAACTGCAATGTGAACCCACACACATTTTATATCAATGCGACTGGCTTGGCACCGCAATGTGTGCCATAACTTTCATAGGCATTTCGAGTTAACATTGCGACGTAATTTGCGAACAAATACAAAATTTTCCTCATTGAAAACACTGACAGAACTCAACATCTTCTTAAGGGCCCGGCATATTCTATCCCGAAGCAGAATTGTCGACTCATGGTCACGTGGTTATGGGACATTCAGTTTTGCACACACCTTTCATAGTCCGTGAGACACAAGCATAGAGCACTTGGGAAACCCCTCCCACTGCAGTATACATCACCGTGGGGGGTTCCCCGCCAGAGTCTCCACTCTGTCCCTGCATCCACTGTTTGGCCACAAATCTATCAAGAAGATAGCTCCACACTTTTCAGCAGACAGACTCCTCCAAACAGGATGTCTGCACCATCTCCAGCCACAAGTTTTTGACCATTTGACTAATTTAGTGTGTTTGAAGAGTCATACAGCTGAATGTCCGAGCGCATTTCCACATTGACAAACACGCCCAAAAACTTCTGAACAATCGTATGTGGCGCTTCTGCCTGTGAGAAAAGGTTCGGCCAATTGCCTTGTGTTGAGAAGGGGCAGGCAAAGCCGCTCTGCAAACAAAATGACGCAATTTTCGTTACGCAATTGCGACAGTAAGAGCTGATTTCGGCATATCGGATGGAGTATGCAGGGCCCTTAACTGCCACAGTGAAGTCACGTGACCTAGACGGGAGAAGTCTCAACAAACCAATTAAAATCTGCCTATCTTCATTTCCTAATTGCACACTAGTAGAGTGAATCATAGGCACATGGGTGGCTGGCAAAGCTGGTGTAAACCTGTTCAAGGTGGGTATAAAGTGGGAAGAGTTGGGAAACAAAATAGCGTACGAGGACCAGAATACAGTTTTGCAACCTTTGCAACAAAAGTTGGCTGTGATGTTCAAAAAATAACTAAAAATAAATTACTCAGCAATCCACCCTTAAGGATCGCTGGTCATTTGGTTGCAAGCACTTAGAATTTAGTGCGACAGACTGCAGTTAAAATACTATTTTTAATTTGCTTTATTTTCTCGCAATTTTGAGTCACCAACTAGTCTCTGTCACTTGCAGCCCAGTGAACCTTAGGGTTAGGTTTTTTCATATAAGGCACACTGCAGACCCACATTGCTCTGCTCCATTAGTTATTACTGTCTTTCCAATTGTATAAATGTTTGTGATCACCAACAGACCTCAGCAGAAAAGCTGCCAGCCTTCATTCAGTGTGAGGGTTCTTGCTGTTCTCCTTTACTCTTATGTTTTGTCTGATAAAGCATCTTTGGCTTGTTGGGTTTTAAGTTGTTCTTTGAGTCAAGCTTAGACTAGAGTCATTTTTGCTACACGTCAAATGCAGCACTGAATTTAGTCTTTTCTTTACACCAAGCAAGATGAGCAAACTAGTACTGAAATCAGAAATGGTAAAAAAAAAAAATACCACAGTGGTGGATAAGAAACAAACACATTTGTTTTGCAGGACTTGTTTGTTACGTGTCTGTCAATCATTGGTTGCAACAGTTTTCTTCTTTTAGCATCTCTATAGATTAATGTAAGGAAGAGCTTGATGAAAATTACTGTTGGCTTAAAAAAAAAAGTGACACAAACAGCAAACCTTTGATTTGCAAGGGGGCAAATTCAGTTTTTGGTTGATAATGCAGCTGCAGCTTTTACCCCAAAGGTCAAGTGTCTTTGTTGGGATCCATATTGTTCTATGCTGCTGCAGCAGTAAATATCTCTGCCTGAGATAAAGGAAGCTTGCAGAAGGAAAAGAAAAACCTTTTCACGTGAGCTGAAGTCACGGTCACAACTGGAAGTCAGTTCTTATCTGCAGTTCTGCAGGTGGTGACAGTGATGCCTGGTGTGTGTGTGTTTAAATGAGGGCTTGCAAATTTGCCATTGTGTCCACTAAATCAACTATTGCAGCATGTTTTTTTTTTTCTTGTCATCTGTTTGTACGTGAATGATCATGTGTGTTCTTGTGCTTCTAAGTGTGCATGTGTGGGTAAGATAGATGAAGCGTGTTTGACTGTCCTTGTTTTTTTATTTCTTTTTTACAAAAAAAGTCACATAGTATATGCTTTCCAGTAAAATAATACTATAAAAATATAAATAACCATAACAACAAAACAAAAAAATTTCCCAAACTAATTTAACCTCTTAGGACCTGGCATCCACATATGCAAGAGTTTGGGTCTTAGGAGGTTAAAATAGTCCTTATTAGAACCAAATACCACATAATTTTTTTAAGTTATATTCAAGACCCCAAAGTCAAGTCATTGCAGCAGTAACAGCAGGAAGTCTCTTCAGGTATGTTTTCATGAGACTGATACATCTAGTCACTGAAATTTTCTGCCAGGTCCTAATCACAAAACTGCTCCACCTCTATAAAGTTGGGTGCTGCTTGTGTGCAACAATGTTTAAATCAGACCAGAGGTTCTCAGTTGGATTGACACTGGACCATTTCAGGACATTTAACATTGTCGCCTTAAACCACTGGAGTGTTACTTCAGCACTGTGTTCATTGTCCTGCTAGAAGGTGAACATTCATCCAATCATTCATTATTTTTACCTGCTTCAACCTTGCAGGAGTCACTAGCGCCCATGTCCAACAGTTACTGTGCAAGAAGTAGGGTACACCCTAGTCATATCGCAAGTCTATCAAAGTCTCAGATCTCTAGAAGACTCAAGCTAGTTTCTTTCAAAAGGTATTCTACATTTTGCGCCATTTATCTGACGTTCATTTCTGACCAGTTTTCTAGTTACAGATGATAAACATCCTCAAACACGAAGGTACCACCACTATGCTTCACTGATGGTAAATGTACTGTACTCATATAACGCCTTTCTATCTTATCAAGATACTCAAAGTGCTTTACAACGCTATCTGTGTCCTCATTTACACGTTCATACAGCACTCTACTAGATCTCTACAAAGCTAATTGAACAAATCATTCTAAAGAGATTAATCAGAGCTTTATCACATTTGTACACCGATGGGACACACATCGGATGCAATGAGGGGTTCAGTGTGTTGCCCAGGGGCACTTTGGCATGTGACTGCTGGTGGAATTGAACCCCAAACTCTTGCATTGGAGGATGACTGCTCTAACCACTCAGCCACAGCCGCCCCTGTGGCTGAGTGGTGATGGTGTTCTCACCGTGTTGTGAAGTGTTGGGTTTCCACTAGACATGGTGTTGTCCTTGATGGTCAAAATGTTACAATAAAACTTTTTCTGACCACAGCAAGAAGTCTCCAATATACCTTTTGGTAAATTCTAAAGAGTTTGCCCAATTTTTATCAATAAGCAATGGCTTTTTGTCACCACTCTTCTGTGCTAGCATCCTAGCTCTGTAGTGCTTCTAGTTTCCTATTGACAGACCCTCTTACCTTTGCTGATCAGCTCTATCAGGATTATCTCTGGCTTGCTGGTAAGTCTGGTAGCTATCCAACTGGGTGTATGGATAGATTAGTTGACATAGAATGTCAACTTCATGGCTTCTGAAGGTAATTGTTGGTCCATTACTTAAAATCAAACTGAAAACCCTTTCAATTTCACGTTGTAAGTCCACAAAACAGAGATAAAACCAACAGTGATGAATGCATTTGCAACCCACTACTTTCCCACTGATCCTTGTAACTTTTCTTTTTTCTTTTTGTACCTGCAGGACATTCTCAGAAAATGACTGCACCATGGTGGCCCCAGCTGACCCCTGCCTCAGTCCCACCAAAGGAGAGCTAGTCTACAGCAAGACAGCCAAACAGTGCCTGGAGGAGATTTCAGGTATGGCAGGTCCACACACTCACTGTAGGCTCTGTGCTGATCGACTTCCTGTGTGTGGGCGCATGGATGAGTGCATTAATATTGGTTATATTAAGAATTTACCCTTGGTCTGCTGGTCCACATCTATATGTATTTAAAATTGACCTTAAAGCTGCTGCAGTTCTGTTCTTGAAGTGTGAAGAAATGTTGGAAAACCTTTTATGAGGAAAAAAGATTGGATAAATGCTTGAGTTAGCTATTCTTAATAATATTCATGAAAGAGGATGCTGCTCTGTACTGTATGATAGTGTGAAGGTTTTCAGGCATTTGGTCTGTGTTTATGTGTGTGTATCCTTTGGTAAAAACCTTTTTGTGCTTTATTGGGGGGAAAGGCAAAAGGTCAGTAGTGACAGCTGACACAGAGAGCGTTGGGCTTACAAACCTAAAGGTCAGCACTGGATCACCAGCCCTCACCATTACACATTGGCAGCAGGATTGGGGTTATCATTTATCATGCCTAGGCACTGGGTATATAAAGTTTGAGTAATTGGGTGGGGGTCTTAAGCATGAACACATTCTAATTACATTCTGTTTACACAGCAATGGTAGACGTGGAAAAGATGTAATACCTTCACCACACCACTAGTTGGTGCTATGTTCTTTGGCATCCAGTAGTGCCTCCTAGCCATGTTTCTTTTTTGCATACATCCATTAAATAACAGTGTGGAGCTGTATGAGCTGCGTCAATGTTCGATGATTTGAGTAAAGAGGTAGAAAATGAGCACTGTGTTGGAGAGCCGTAGTTAGTTGTATAAGAGTCAGAAGCACAAACAATACTCTGGTAGCCATCATTGTCGATAGTTTCTTCTTCTGTGGATTGTAGGAAGCCGTTATGTTTTGCGTCATACTGATCGTATGAGCCAGGGATTCTCTGACAGAAAAAAAAATCAATTTTTTTGGTTTACACAACAACAGGACACCCGGATGTTTTTGAACCATTTCACTCTGGAACCTGTCGTCAAATTGTGCCATTGTCAGAGAAAACATTTGCTGTTTTCGTGTAAATGAACAGAACAAACGCAACGAAACTCTTCCATTTTCACCAGAAATTGTTTTCGTGTGAACAGGGCCTGAGAAATTACTTTTGAAAAGGTGATTTATTTTTTGTATGGTAAATGATTGTATCTTTCACAAAAAATGTAAAAATGTAAAGATGGGTACTTCAAGCAAAAACATTCACACAATTTTTATTTATTTATTTATTTTTCATACGTTTTTGGCATCCAAACTATTTCCACATACTTTGCGCTATTTTTATAGTCAAATATGAAGATGATAAACTTGTTCAGATGAGTGATAATTTTACCCATACAAAGTTTAATTATGCTAATTTTACCATTGGTAACTACACTAGGCAGCACGGTGGCACAACCGGTAGAGCTGCTGCCTCTCAGCGAGCAGGTCCCTGGTTCAAACCCCGGTCCAGGGGCCTTTCTGGGTGGAGTTTGCATGTTCTCTCCGTGCATGCGTGGGTTTTCTCCGGGTACTCCGGTTTCCTCCCACAGACCAAAAACATGCATGTTAGACTGATTGGTAACTCTAAATTGTCCCTAGGTGTGAGTGAGAGAGTGAATGGTCGTTTGTCTCGTTTGTCTCTATGTGTCCCTGTGATGGACTTGCGACCCGTCCAGGGTGTACCCCGCCCCTCGCACAGTGATTGCTGGACATGGGCACCAGCGACCCCCGTGACCCAAAATGGAATAAGCGGGTAAAGATAATGGATGGGTAACTACACTAATGCTAAGACTAGAAATGAGGTTAGAGAAGCGAACTTGCGAACGGAATGTTGCTGGTTCAAATCCTCCTACTGACATAACATCAAAGTGTGGGTAGAAAAGATGAATCACCCAAATATGTCTTCACCCTCATTTGCTCTACTCTGGGCCCTTGGGCAAGTTCCTTAAGCCCCCATTTGCTCCCCCAGGCATCCTAGATGGCAGTCTGATTAATCTGAAACCAGTAACTGCCTTCTTGTAAAAGAGAAAACATGTTAGTGTGGATGATAAACAAACCAGAATAAGTGGAAACTAAAGTGTCGATTTCAAAGCCTGAAGAAGTCTGCAACACACAGTTTGCACAAACAAGTGCACAAATCCCCAAACCTGATTACAGGTTTGGGGATGTCAAGTGGGAAGCAACATTCCAGACATTTTGCTTTGGTCATGGCTTTTCTCAAGCAAATCATTTTGGGGATAAAATTAGATAACAGTGCTGACCGTTCTCTTTGTTTGGGGTCCATTACACACATTTTGCTTTTTGTAGTCACACATTTCAGAATCATTTCACATCCTTGTCCTTCCCCCTTTACAGAAGCAGAAATAAGGATCTGAGGGAAATTCAAGAGTAGGCATACCACAGATACCACATTACATGCCTACTTATTTTGCATTCATAGGTGAAACCAAAGTCAGTGGTGTCAATTTTCAAACATCAAAGCTGCACAACCACTCTTCCCTTATATACCGTAGTCATTCAAGCTGGAGATAAGAAATGAAACCTGTTTAGGGTGATCTATTAGATATCTGCATTAAAATATTTAAACTAGAACACTTGAACAGTATCAGTGCAACTACTGCCCCAAATTACAATTTGTAAAAAATATTTTTTTACAAAACACAATGTAGGGGTGTCCCAATACTAGTTTTTTTTTCCATACGGAGTACAAGTGCAAGTACTTCCGTTTGGATACTTGCTGATACTGAATACTGATACCCAGTAGTTAACGAGTAAGTACTTAAATTATTTTGGAAACACATTTGCTTTATAAAGAACATAGCGAACAGTCTTTTGTTTTAACGTCACTGGTGATTTTTTTTTAAATATCTCTGAACCATGGATATTTCTTATTTTTTGTCTTTGTATATGTACCAGGTGGAAGAGGAAATCACCAAGCATGAAAGTGGTACTGGCCCTAAGTATCGGGGTGTTATGGGGCACAATATGCTATCGGTACACCATCTGGTTCTTACCATATAATAATAATAATAATGATGATGATGATGTGCTATGTGTTGGCATCATTGTATGTTCCCATGAGAAGGAACTATTAGAAGACTGAGTTTATTGCAGCTCCTCAGACTTAAGAAATATTTTTGATAAAAGATGAAACATTTCAACATTTTTTCTTTTTAAGTCCATCCAGACGACCTGGCTTAATTTTGCTAGATTTTTCTACCTGGATTTTTCTACCTGGATTATTATAATAAAGTGCTATGTGGTGTCATCATTGTATGTTCCCATACAATGGCGAAACTGGTTCTCTGCATTTAATCCATCGCACCTGGGATACACCCAGGTGGAGAAGTGAGCAGCTATGTAAGCACCCGGGGAGCAATTAGGGATTAGGTGTCTTGCTCAGAGACACCATGGCATGTGTGAATGGCTGGGGATTGAACCTGGAACTTTTGGGTCCCAAGTCAGCTACCCTACCTCTACCCCATCTCAGTCTTATTGTGTATGCATCAGGATATGTGGTGAGTAGTGTAAAAGTAGAAAAGGCTATCAAGGTAGTTCAGACACAAAGTCATACCATCTGGGACCAGTGTCTAAGCCAAAGAACTCCAAAGAGAACTGGTTATCTTGCTTGTTTAGCCAAAGTCCCATTGTTGGATATGTGGAAATATTTATCAGTACTTTTAGATTTTGTGTATGCTGATGATACTACAGCTAAAAGTCAAAGCGCACTACAATATTCCCAATCGAGCCTCATGTTGTGATGCTTTTTTTGTTGTTTGTTTTTTTCCAACGCTGCAAATTGAAAATTGCGACAGAAATGAAAAGTTCACTGTCAAATAGAAGTAATCATAGCCCCTTAAATACTTTGTAAGTTGTTCACAATCTCAACACTTGATTTTGATTTCCAAGAAGACTGCTTCCAGTGTTTTTTCTTTCTTTCTGTAACCAGCTTAAGCAAATGCGTGGAAGGCAGGTGTGACTAATAGGCTAATAATGTTTGCATTGATTGATGAGAATATGCCGGTTCTGTGGTCTCATTGTTGATCCATGATAAGCTGCAGGGCTCGCAGTTTTAGCTCCTGAAGGCAGCATTTAATTAAGTGAGGCGGGCAGAGTGGTGCAGCCACGGCTGTGAGCTTACAGGTGCACTGTCCACACAACTCACTGTCACACTGTCAGGGAGAGGCTGGAGGATAACGCGAGGGAGAAACGATAAGGGTAAGAAGTGAACGGAGGAAGAAAATGAGAGGGATTAGGAGAAAGAAGGAGGTGATAAACAGAGCGGGGCTGAGCAGAAGCATTGGAGAGAAAGCTGCATGCTGGAATCTACAGGCAGAGGGAGAGCGACATGAGCCCACTCGCTGGCTTCAGCCATCCATCCTTTGCTGTTAGGAGGGAGGAAGCATCGGAGTGTCAGAGGGGAGGCAGCAGAAGTGTGGCAGTGAGCTGGTAATTAAAGAAGAGACAGAAGGTGTGGGAAGATAGGTTTGAGTGAATACAAACATTTGAAAGGGGAAAAGATAAAGAGTGTGAGCGCAGGGCGAGTAAGGAGGAGGCACGGGAGATGGAGCGGCTCGTTCATCCACGCCCCTGACTGTGGTGAAGCAGGAGATAGAAGACGGACAGAGACGGCATGCGGACAGTGGACGGAGTGGACGGAGAAGTGATCTGGTCTGGCTGACAGTCTGACCATGAGTATGTCCTGTTTTAGGAATGGATCTGGATTTTACCTGCATGCCCCTGAAGGTGGTTTTCTCTCCTCTGTTTCCCCTGAGCCTGCTTCTCCTCCTGCTTACTGAAACCTGGACCTCAGTCGGGAGACGTGGGACTGGGGAGCCCATCTCTTCGTCTCCTCTGTGCTCGGGTTCGACCCTCACTCATCTGCTTTCATCGTGGCGATGCAACCAGGATGTGAGCTGGTGGATTCACATGTATTTTATCTGTTCCTGAGCAGCCGGTGGTAAACAGGTGAGCTCTGCAAGGAGGAGGAAAAGTCAGGAGGCGAT